ATGAGTCTAGTTCAGAAAGCTTTACAGAGCACATCCATCACGTTTGCAAACCTGTTGACAACTCTCATTTACTTCTTGACCCTCTTTCTGTCTTTCTTTCTTTCTCTCTCTTTCTCTCTATCTATCTCTTACCTTCTCTCTCTCACTTACCCCTTCTCTCTCACCGCTTCTCGCCAATGTTTCTCATTAGAGAATTCCTTTCTTGAATTCGTTGTCTGTATACAGTTGCTCCGAAGTTATTTTTTTCTATTCATTCTTGTCTCATTTTTAACTCTTCTGACACGGCTATATTGGAGAGCATTTTTCACATCGCATATCCTACATTTTAAAAATTGCGTTTCTGCACCCCCCCGCGCCCGTTGCTAAAGGATTGCCTACCGTAACACACTGCCGCAACCCATTACAAATAGCATAATCACTAAAAACATCCATATTTATAAAGATCAGATGTAGTAAATCATTCAATTCTTATTACGCTTTTCCCGCCAATAGGATCTGAAGTCTCTCTCTCTCTCTCTCGCTCACACTTTTACCCTCTCTCTATGTTCCTTCTTTCTGTGTCCTTCTCTCTATCGCACTCACTCTCTCTGTCCCACTCTCTGTCTGTCTCCCTCATTCTCTCTTTCCATTACTCTTCACTAACCCTCTTCCTGCTCTATATATCTTCCTCTCTCTTTCTTCTCTCTCTTCTCTCTCTTAGTCTCTCATCCTTCCCTCTCTCCCTCTATCTCTCCTCCCTCCGCTTCTCTAGTTCTCTCTTTCCCTGACTCTTCACGCTCTCACCCTCTCTCTCTTGCCTCTCTCCTTCTCTCTTCTTCTATTACTCTCTCCGTATCTCCCGGTCTCTCCGTATATCACGTTCTCTCTCTTCCTTCTCTCCTTCTCTCTCCCCATCTCTCCTCTCTCTCCGTATCTCCCGCTCACTCTCTTTCTCTGTCTCTTCACACTCTCAACTCTCTCTCTCTTGCCTCTTTCTTCTCTCTCCCCTTTCGCTGTCTCCGTATTTCCCACACTCTCTCTCTTTCCCTCTCTCTACACGCTCTCCTTCCTGTCTCTCTCTCTCTCTCTCTTGAGTTCAAGTGGCAAGATGTCTACCCGTTACCCGAACTTAAGTGAATAAAAGACAACATTTGATGATGATAAATCTCTTAAAGCAAGTGGTGTGTCTTCAAACATGATTAAGTTTAGCTTAGATGTTTTTGTTTAGCGGCATATCAAAACATTTATGGGTTATGGAATGCCGAAATTTAAGTATTTTGTACACAATTTTATGCCTTCACCCATATATATATATATATATATATATATATATATATATATATATATTATATTATATTATATTATACAGGATATAAGAGACCCGGATATAAGAGAAACCCGAATATAAGAGAGATTTTCTCTGGTCCCAAATTAGAGCCTGTGTTAATGTAAACAAAATAGATCAAACTTGGATATAAGAGAAACCCGGATATAAGAGACTTCTTCTGCGGTCCCGACAACTCTCTTATATCCGGGTTACACTGTATTTAAGTTAGGGCATTTTTTGGACAAGTTCAGTATGCTGAAATAGACATCTGATGTTGCTTTCTTTGTAGTGCTTATGCTTCAATTACAGATATTTTGGACATAATTTTAGAGTAAACATGTGCTTTATACATATATAATTTGTAGATGGTCTACTGTATATGTTATACGTTGTGCTATGAGCATATTTCTTTAAGGTAAGACAATATATCGATGGTTTTAGTATCTATACCTATAATTCTCAAAATGTATGTGTGCCTGTGCGCGTAATCGGATGTTGTTTATGCATTTCCACAGTTTTCATCCGACTTCGATGAAAATTTTTTTGGTTGATAGATAATTCTTCAGTGCCGGTTTTGAGTCCAAATTATTGACGACAATGGCTCTCCACTATTTCCTGTCCATTATAACTCTCAGCAACTTTTTATTATTTACTATCTTTTCGTTGATATATATTTTCATAAAAACTTTAATAAAAAATAGTTTAAATTATTATAAAAATATTAGTTATTATTATACAGTTCACGTTTCAGGGCCCCCTCCCTATTCAAATTGTTAGATTCCCCCATTTGGGGATGTGTCTTAGTTGAACCCAAATATTTTTACTTATATTGATTTTCGGCTGGGCTAACTTTAAACTTAAGCTGCTCCAACTGAACGGCTAAAATTCCCAATAATGAAAGACCCGGTCAAAGTCGGGTTATACTGCTAGCCTACAGTTTCCTCAAATTGGTGGCATTGTAGTATTTAGGACTTACAAGGGCTGTGTGACAGTATTCAGTTAAAATTTGCTTCACCGCTACTAGAGCTGACATCTTTTACATATTGGTTGATCTTCGTATTTTTCCAAGTGTTATGTGTGGCCGATGCACTCTCAGGTTTTCTTAATATTCATTGGCAAACAACTACAGTGAAATCACGAGTCTTTAAATCAATAATCAGTTATTCCGTCGATAAAACTAGTGGACAAGTTGAGGTAAAAATAATTGTAAGGAGCAAAGCATTCTTCTGTCTGGATTTTACTCCAAAGTTGACATTCTCAAAGATCTGTGGTCCCAACCAAGGCTAAACAAACTAGTCTACACTATTATTTACCAGGACTTTAATCCATAAGTGCTAAGAGAATGCACGTATGGCATTACAGCGAGAATGAACAAAAGTTGCTCAGATATTGAACTCAGCAGGCCAATTTCAATTTCAATGTGGATAACCGTTACAATTCTTCTTCTTCTTCTTCTTCTTCTTCTTCTTCTTCTTCTTCTTCTTCTTCTTCTTCTTCTTCTATTTTCGCCATGCCAACTCAAGGCGTTGGTGATCATGGTTCTGATCAAAGGCTAAAACAATTCACTAAGATGTAAATGTCTAGAAAGTGCCTTGATCGCAAAGTCATCTACAGTAAATTTGCGCCCGGGCCCTTACAATATTTCACCATTCTTGGCAGATCTTCTATTATCACAGTGTGGAATATCTGCGAACAAAAATAATGGAAAGAAAAAAAGGAAAAAAGATCTAAATAAATTCGGTTAGATATATAAAAATGAAAAAAAATTAAAACGATTCTATAAAAAATTCGTAAATACTACTACTAATAATAATGATAATAAATTCTCTGAAATAGCCAGCATCTTTCGTTCGAGCGCAGGTGTACTTGTACTAAGATAACAAATTTAGTTCAAGGGTGCCCTGAAGGACAAAACTCGTCATGAGTAAAATTTTTACAGTTTTTGTCATACAATTTAACCAATATTGTTCTTGATATACAAAAATATGTATCGTTTTCTCATTCATATATATATATATATATATATATATATATATATATATATATATATATATATATATATATCGTCTTCTGTATTATATATATGTATTATATGTTATAATTATCGTCTTATATATCGTTTTATATAGTGCAGAAATGTGCATTTTACTTGACTTAAAACAAGTTGGCATCTATTTGTAAAACTTTCCTTAAATATAACAAGCCAATTTATGAATAAAATGTTCATTTAAAATTTTAGTTTCAAATATTTCAGTTAGTCAATATATCTTACTTAGCGAAGGATTATATATATATATATATATATATATATATATATATATATATATATATATATATAACGTAGGATTATGAATTTAATACGAGCACCGTCGGCTATTCTATTAATCTTTATCAAGGACGTTTTTTGTCTGTTTTTTAAACTTTATTTGTAGATTTTTATGTGTATTTAGAGTGGTAGAATTATTTTTTATTTCCCAATCACGGTCAGTACATTTTGGCTGTATTCATGGTTGATATTATTATATGATGTGGATGATGCTATTATATTTGTATGATCAACGAGTATGCTACGTTTAGAGTTGCGAGGCCTCAATGTGTATTTAGATGAGACCTAATTGTGCTAGTCGGTCAGCATATTTTTACCGTGTTTATAGTGTACGTTATTAAGTGTTGGCTTTTTCTATTGTAGTATTAATGGTTCCTTTATGTTCTGCCTGTTTTCACACCTGAATGAGGCTATTATAGCTGTATTTTCTACGAGTATGTGACGGAAAGGCTTTGGTAAGTTGTCGTGTGTGCTTAAATGAATCCTGTTTAAGCTCTAGCCAGACGGATGTTACGTGAGACTTCTTGATAGGCATGTCGTGGTATGTCTAGGATAATCATTCCTGAATTTGATTTGATTCGGAACACAGTACCATAACCATTTGGACCATGACCACCGGTTTACCGCTGGTAGAGATAAATGACAATGCCCAGCCACTGGTTGAAGAGCTATCGTGTCCCAGTTTACCCAAATAAGACAACTGTTATTTGGTTAGACTGGGACACAAAGAAAAAATTCTGACGATAAAATGAAGGCATGAATCATACTCTCCGCCTGCTAAGTATCGTGCTTATAAATTTGGAAGAGGAATTTGGGAAATATGGTAGTTATTGGACCTGGAGAATGTTGTATTTGCGCCCAAAACTGCTGCACAGACCAATGGTCACTAATAGAACCTCTGCGGTGTTCGTGCGACGATCATAGTCTACACATTTTCCTTCAGAGCAATGCTATAAACAACGGATGTGAATGAAAAGGTTATAAATTAACACATTGAGCCAGACCACCGATTTACCGGTGGTAGGAAAAGATGACTTAATGCCCAGCCACCGGTTGATCAGTAGTAGAGAAAAATGACTTAATGCCCAGGTGGCTAAACATTTGCGTTGTGTTTTGCTATTGCTTGTCTTATTTGGTTAGACTGGGACACAAAGAAAGAAATCTGGCAATAAAGTGAAGGCATGAATCATACTCTCCCTGCTAAGTATAATGATTATAATTTTGGAAGAGGAAAAAGTCGCAAGGGGCGAGATTTGGGGAATATGGTGGCTGTTGGAACTGGAGAATATATTTGCCCCCAAAACAGCTGCACGGAACTATAGTCGCTAATAGAATCTCTGTGGCATTCATTCGACGATCATAGTGTACACACTTTCCTTTAGAGAAATGCTATAAACTGTTAAGGTGTCCACCCCTTTTATACAAGTGGACTCACCCGGTGTGTACTTGTACTGCTGCCGGTGAATACCCGGTAGTAACAGAGATACATTGATAGAGTGATACAGTGAGAGAGTGAGGCAGCCGCTTTGTAGGAGTCACAGTTGCGAGCACGTAGACTCAGAAGGAAGTCATACTTCGATACTGAATTTCCCAGACTGTATATATATATATTATTATTGCTACTAATCGCATTTCTGGATCTACTAACCGTATTACCAATTGTATTGTCGCGTCAATACATTTATTTACTATATTTCATTCCTGCGTTTGTCATTCATTTGAGACCGGATTTCATGTCGGAATCCACAACAGAAACAACGGGTGATATGGAAAAGGGTATAAATTAACACATTGAGCCCGGACCACCGCTTTACCGGTGGTAGAGAAAAATGACTTAAGGCCTAGCCACCGGTTGAACGGTGGGTAAACACTTGCGCCGTGTTATGTTGTTCTTGTGCATCAAGAGAGGCAACACCTGCAAGGTAGACTGGGACACAAACAGAGAATTCTGGCGGTAAAATGAAGGCATGAAATCATACTTTCTCCTTGTTAAGTATAATGCTTATATATTTGTAACTATTTTTTTATCTATCTATCGTGAAACAATAGATATTAGTTATTTGCGAATATTGACTCGGGTGCTCAAGCAGAAGGATTAAAATTGTTCAGGAACGTCGGCATCAAAGGGTTAATGACTATTACAGGGATATCATCGGATCCACAAGCATTGTGTTGATCTAGGTTAGAGATGATAACAGAAATCATAAAAACTGTTATATACATATTAATCAATAGAGAATACGTTCTAAGTGTGAAGTTAGACAGTGATACTGCACATATATGGCGCAAAAAGAAAGAATTGAGCGAGTTTAATCAACAGAAATCATTTCAACAGAGAATTTACTATCTGGGATATTTAAACGTATGTGTGAGCATATACGTAAGAATCATGTGGATATACATTCATGTAGGTATAAACGTATGTATATTTGTTAATGTCATTCCTGTTTACTATGTAGACATACTTGTAAGTATATGTTTAAT